GCTCAAACTGATGAAAATGAGCTGAGTGCTTAGAGAGAAGATCTAGGTCAAACACTGCCTGTGAATGTGGAGACCGTAAAGCGGATATTCTTTTAATAAAGTGCAGAGGAAGTCTCCATGGGAACAGTGGCACAGGGGTTAATCACAGAATTAAACATTTTAAAAAGAACTCGGGGCTTGTGACTGACCTGTGACTAAGATGCTTGTTTCTATGCTTTAGGTTTGAAGTGTCTCTCCCACGCATCTTTGTTCTTGTGTAATACAGTAAATAAAAATGTACCAGAGTTTACAGGTGAAAATGTGAGAACTCCTGTAGGACTTTTAGATATTAAATTAATATATTGAATGTAGTAAAAATGTGAAAATTGATGTTATTTTACAGATGATTCCTGCTGCTGTATGAACTATGTAGACGACATTTTGGAAACTGGAAGCATGGATGACACTATCAAGTAAACACTCTCATTCCAAATCACAGCACACTTTTTTATTTCAATTGTTTGGAGTTTTATGTACGTAGGAGTACAACACAGAGTTAAGATTTTAAGGTATATAGTATGTGTATACCTTAAGTATATACCTTAAGTATACCTTATGTATGTAGTATAAGAATTAATGAGAGACAGCAAAATGAGTCATGCTAATATTTTCTTGTCCTTTTCCACAAGCGCAATTGAGGAACTACAAGATTTCATAGCGAAAGGAAAAATAAACGGGAATCATTTATCAATGACTTCTGACCATGTTGTTGCGCTCCAGTATGAACCCAATGACATGTTCAATGGCTTCGATATTCATGCGAGTGATAAGGTATTTAAAAAAATCTGATTTCATATTAATTTAAAAATGATTGTGACAGTAACTAACTTGCTTTAAAAGGATGTGCATACATACATTCATTTTCTGGTTATGATTTTTTTTTTATATGAAAATATTTATTATCACTGTAAAGAAAAAAAGATGGAATGTTTGACATTGGGAAATCGATAGGATACAAACAGTGTACATGTATATTGTTTACATCTTTCATAAGCAACAAAACAGGTTGTATATTATTACTTTTGCTATGTAGCACCTCAACATTTACTTTATAGATTAAAATTTGGTGCTGCTTCAAAGAGTATGAATCTTAATGATGTGTTATGTTGTTCCAGATTAGATGCTTAAATATATTTAATTATTTTCCTAATATTCATTGTCAGAACATTATTTTAGTTTTTTTGCAACAAAGAAATCATACCCATCAGTCTTAGTTGAGAGTTTCATTGTGTTATTACAAGCATTCACATGAATGAATGTTTCTCTTCTCGTTTGATAATATAGGAAATATCATATGATCATCTTCCAAGCAGAACAGTGAGTGTTCAGCTGCCGAAAGAACTGAATCCTGGACTGAACAACACGATTGTGTTCCTCAAGCTCAAGTGGCCTGAAAAGAAACAGGTCAGGGAGATGATTTTGTGTTATAAAATTTACATTTTGTGTATGTACATAGATTTCACAATGCTAACTCAACTTCTTTGTTTGCAGACCATATGAACTAGACATATGCACCAGAAACGCTGACTTTGAGTGCACATTATCTTCAACATTACATTTTTATTTTTTATTTTACAATTGTCATGGGTCATGCTATACAACTATCTTAAATGCTGAACCACTAATAAAATAATTAAAGTAAAATTGCACTGCAGTAACTTATTCTCCACAAGTTTTCCATTACCACACAACATGAATCACAATAACTTACAGTTGAAATGTATCAGCTGAGGAGGCGCAGTGACTTTAATGTGTGGGCTTAGATTAATGACTGGTGTCATGGTCTTGGGTCATGTGACCCAGTGTTTCTGAGTTTCATGTTATTTTGTTATTTCATCTGTATTCGAGTTTCTTTTCAGTTATCTAGTTATTCGGTCATGCGTAGTTTGCAGTTTAGTTCATAGTTTATCAGGTTCCCCATGTGTCATGTTTACGTCTCCATGTTTCCTGTTCTATTTTGAAAGACTCCAGTGTTCTTTGTTCATTGTATTTAGTTTCACTTCCGCTGTCCTGTCATTAGGTTCATGTGTTTCAGCTGTGCTCCCATGTGTGGCCACTTCCCTTGATCATCCCTTGTGTGTATTTAGTCTTTGTGTTTCTTTCAGTCAGGGTCGAGTTGTCTATTTAACTTCCCCATGTTATGTCAGGTTCCAGGACTCCGTGCTGGTCATGGTCCTGTTGCGTTCATCTATACGTTTCATAGTTGTTTCATGTTCCAGCACAGAGTCCTGTTTATAGCTGACTCAGTCATATTCATTATTGTCACCTTGTCTTAGCCTTCCCTGTGTCAGTTTTTAGTTTTCCCATTTCAGCTTTTAGTTTTGTTTTGCCTGCTTTCTGTTGTTTGCCACGTCAATCAGCCAAAATCAAGGCTCACTTTTCATTTCAAGTTCAGTACTGTCTCCTTGTCTGTGTCTGCACCTGGATCCTCATACTCCCACACCCGGCCCGCCTCCCGCAGACCGTGATAGTACGACTCGACCATGTCAGTTCCAGTAGACAATCCAAAGGAGGTCGGGGAGGAGCTCCGCCACATCATGGATTCCATCTGCGGGTCCAGGGATCCTATGGCAGTGAGCATTGGATTGGTGGCTGCGGACGCCACCTCTCTAAAAGAGCCGCGCCTCAGCCAGATGACGCAACTTGTGGAAACTTTTGATTCTCTGGCCCCGCTAAAAGAGGAGCTCCGCGCCCACGTGCTAGCTCAAGCTGTCAGGGGCGCTGCCTTGCCACAGCGCTCAGCATCACTGCATCACGGCCCCTAAGGAATTCGGGTTGACTTGCTGAGGCTACACTCCAACCCGGAGTTCTCTGAATCCACATCTCCGCCAGGGGCCAGCCACTCGCCCTCACTGTCTCGGTCTGACCACCTGTCTCCTGCCTCGTTTCTGGAAAGGATGTGTTCAGATGCTGAGGACTCAGCCATCACTTCACCATCAGCTGCCGTTTCATCAGCTCCCCTTGAGCCCGCTTCTAGGAGAAGGCGGCGTCTGCGCCGCAAACGCTGCCCGCCACAGTTAGAGTCACCATCTTCCCCGCAGCAACTGGCAGAGGTGAGTCAGAGTGGTGCTTGTTTTGCTCCCTCTGGGCAGGGAGGATTAAAGACAATCAATTTAGAAGGAACAGACTCATGCACTATGGACTGCAAAGCTTTTTTTGTCAGGTTCCTCCGAGCTAAGAATTGAAACTGCCGAAGCTGTGAAATCCAGCTCTAAGGAGTTTAAGACTGCTTTCATCTCTGTGCTCCCCGGACGGGAGATTGAGCGCTCAGCTCCCAAACTAACTGGGGACCCACAGGTTTTCTTCTGCTTTCCCTTTGAACGAAGAGACTGTTATTCCTTCTGTTGTCTGTAACTATCTTGATTTAGCTTGTGTTCCTAAAAATGATCAATACAATCCTGGTGAGTGCAAGAGAGGCAGTTTAGATTTACGTTTTTCTACACCTGTGTTAAATGTATTAAAGACTGAGGATAATGACTCTGAACACACCTGTGTGGTTGAAGTCAAAACTCTACGTTCAGTGATCAATAATTTGGACTCAGAAGGAAACACCCCTCAGTCGCATAACTGCCAGATTAATGTTTCCATGTCGGGAACTCACTGAGTGTAAAGGAAGCGAGTATGCGTTCGGACCATGTGAATCTAATGACTGTTTTCCTCAGGAATACTTATTCTAAAGTTGTGGTACAAAAGACTGTTTTTCGTTAGCTCTTCCTGAACCTAGGATTTCTTCCTCACAGATTATTTTTCCAGAGGCTGAGTGTTCTAGCTCAATCATTATTAAGAACTGTGTCACCACTCGTAAGTAAAATTTATTTATAGCACAATTCACAGATAAAAATCGCAAAGTGCTTCACAATAAAACCAAAAGTACAAATAAAATAATATAAAACAGTGAAAAAATTAATGTCTGGCTGAGTGTCTGGCCTCGACAGACACTCAACCCCTGGAGGCTTGGGGGCCAGTACAGTTTGTTCACCCTTTAGCACAGTCCTTAGCACAGTTGCCAGCTCAGCCTGAAGTTCAGTTGCCAGCTCAGCCAGCAGTTTAGATCCTGTCACTAGTTCAGCCACATATTTTCTCACCAGCTCAGGCATCAATTCAGTCTCCAGTTCTGTCATCCTCACAGTTCCCTGTTCAACACCACCTTTATCGCCTGAGAGCTCTACTGAATTCTCTCAGCCCACCTCAGCTGCTTCCCCTGGGAGCTCTGCTGGGCTGTCTCAGTGTTCTGTCTCTACTGAGACCTCGTGCGTGCTGTCCCCACAGTCTGCAGCAACTTTCACCGAGGGCTCAGGCAAGCCCATCCAGCCCACAATAGACTATGTGTTGCCGGAGCCTGAAAGGCAACCCGAGCTGGCTGTCCGTTTCACAGAGATCCAGCTAACTTCGCCTCAGCCAGAGGTTTCCACACCATCTGGCCTTGCATCTGCTCCAGCCAGAGAACCCAGCCAGCATCAGGTCAAGTCAGCTGGGGGGCCTGAGGGGCCTGTCCAGCCTCATGTTTCGCCAGCTGGAGGTTCCAAGGGGCCTGTCCAGCCATCTGCCAATGCTGGAGGGTCTGTGGGGCTCGTTCAGCCCTCAGTGCCACCATCAACACCACCTGATCCGTTGCCATCTGGCCCATGCACGTCCAGCATCGCATGGTTGGCGGCCACGTACCAGCACCGCATGGTCGGTGGCAACTTTTCAGGCCATCTGTGGTGTCATAGACAGCCTCCTGAGCCTCCGTCGCCGCTGCTTTTCGTGCAGCCAGCCTCAGGAGCAGTTGTGCTTTGGACTCTTTCGTTGTCAGCCGTCGGGTCAACCTTTGGAATGGAAGCTTCATGGACTCTTGTCTCGCTGACCTCCGGGTCGACCTCCAGAACCATCTTGTTTTGAACTTTGTACCTTGGACCTTCAAAGTTATGCTTTCTTGACCTTTTTTTTTTTTTTTTTTTTTTTCTTTTCTCTGCTCATGTTTGGTCTGGGGTCCTTGTTGGGGTTTTTGTTGGTTGGTTTAAGGCTCTCTTTTCATTTCAAGTTCAGTACTGTCTCCTCGTCTGTGTCTGCACCTGGATCCTTCCACTCCCACACACGGTCCAGCCTCTGCAGACCGTGACACCAAGGTGCTCAAGTAACAAGTCCACATGAATGCCAGGCCCCAATGTTTTCTAGTAAATCTCTGCATTATATTGAAATAAATTGTAGACACTTCAGGTCTCAGTGATTTAATAGTGCTATTTATTGGAGTATGTTCTCTTGCCTGGAAATATATGAAAATTAGTGGATTGTTGTTATTAGTATTACTGGTAGAGCAGCAGAGTTAAAATGCATCATTTTCATGTTACGATCATATAATTTTACCAAGGAATTCAAATGGACTGTGCTCTGATCTCTGCACATCATACTAGTAAGAGAAACACAACAAATTATTATGAGTGCGAAAATAATTGAATTTGAAATTCAGTTTAAAAATTTTTATGCTGTTCTTAAAAATTCTTTTGGAGTACTTCTGTTACAATTCCATTTTGCATAATCTGTCATGATCCTGGGTCTTTTGACCCAGCGTTTTGTGTTTTCTATTATTGTGATGTATTTTGGTTCTGGTTTTCTTGCTCTTTGGTTTTTGGTTCTGTTCTTCCTCAGTTTAGTGTTTAGTCATTTCTGCCTGTGTATTCCTCTGTGTAAAGTCCATGTTTCTTAGTCTGTGGCTTTGCATGTGTGAGTTCCTGTTTTATTTTGAAGGTCTGTGCCTCTTGTCAGTGTTTCTAGTTTCGCTTCCCCTTGTCTCGTTATGTCCAACTAATCCCAGCCGCGTTTCCCTCCTGTTTCCCATTCCCTGATTGCCCTGTGTGTATTTAAGCCCTGTGTTTTCGTGCGTGTTGCTGGTTCATCTGCGTGATCTCCCGCCATCTCATGTTTTCTCTCGGTGGCTCCCTGCAGCTCTGTTTTTGGTTTCAGGTTTGTTTTGTTAGTTTTTCCAGTTTAGGTTGTATTCTCGCCTCGCCGTTTCTGTTTGTTTTCACACACCTTATAAAATAAAGCTCACTCTCATCAGAAGTTGCATCTTGGGTCTATTCTCCAACTCCACACGTCTGCTATGCCAGACGTAACATGATCACTCTAAATATGAACTTGCAGTCAACTTCACAGGTGCTGTATTGTATTGTTAGTGTGCAGAAACTGTTTTTGTACTGATCCTTTACTATGCTGTGTATTCAGGATTATTTAAAACTATTTAATAGCAATTTTCCCATCAAACACTAGCTCACATACAGTGCTTTTAGTGATTAAAGGAAAACTCCACCAATAGAGCCTTTAAAAAATTATTTTATATCCAGTGTGTGTGGGGTTTTTTTTTTTGTTTTTTTTTTTTTTTTTTTGTCTGTAAATTTTTGTAAATCATGCAGATAGAGGACCCTCATGACATAAGTTTGTTTTCAACATCATACCTTATGACTCAATGAGCTAATGTTTAAGTAAACTGTGGTGAAAACATTGACATATTCCACGTTTTCACCACAGGAACATTAATTTAATGTTTAATTTAGTGATATAATAGTGCATTTATTTATTTAAAAAATGCTGAGGATGTGAGTAACAGTGCATTAGTTTGTAAACTTTTCTAATGCTGAGCTTTTAAATTTAAAGACCCCTTTGGGAGCCGCTCCAATTTTAGTGATAAGAAGAAACACACAACGGGGCCAGTGGCTGTAGCTCAGGAGGTAGAGCAGGTCTGCTCCAGTCTGTGAGCCAAATATCGTTGGGCACATAGTAACCACAAGTTGCTTTCTGATGTATCCATCAGAGTATTAATGAGTGTAAATGAAACTGATTATTAATGAAAGTGTGAATATAAAGCATGTTGAGTATTCAGAGTAAAAAATTGCTATATAAGAACAAATCCATTTACCATTATTTTTTACATTACATTTTGTTTTTATATATGGAGATATTAAGAGTTCAGCTTTCACACAGGCTGTAATATTTTACAAATCAGGATGTCGCACATTCAACCAACTGTGCAGAAATAGATGCTCTTTAGCTCTTTGCAATAATGCATAAAATGTGATTACAGTAAATACAATTTAATATGCAGTTTTATGTAAGAAGGTTTATGCCTAAGGGAAAAATCAACAACACCTTTAAATATGATGCAAATAATGGTAGATGTATTTCAGAATAGACAAAGCTTAGATTAATCTTTCATGTGAAAACCAACTGATGAATTTGTGTTTTATTGTAGAGGATTTTAGGATCCCAATATGAAGTGTATGATCAAGCACTGGTTGGCCTGAGTGTGGAGGGCAAGAACATATCAGGACTACATCAGCGTGTCAACATCACCATCAACCTTACCAAGAAAATAAATGTAACTGCTTCTGAATTTTATCATTTACTCTATTTTGGCCTGTTAACATTATATTATTAAATATATTTTATATTCAACAAATTCACATAAATTAGGTATGTGTAATAAAAACATGTTAACATGTAATATTTCTGTGACACAGGAAACCCAAAACGCCTTATGCCACTTCTTTAACTTGTCAAGAAAAAGTGAGTAACCAAGCTTCACATTATCATTAGTGTCTAACATGAATATTTATTTTATAAACCGGAGTCATTGTTGTTTGTGGTTTTTCTCAAAATCACAAAGATGCGCTGATATGACCCGGATGTAATAGCATCTTATGCATAACTGATCTCTTTGTTTGACTTATCAGATTTCAGTCAGGATGGCTGCATTACCCTATGGACACGTGGTGAAAATCATCTCACCTGTTCCTGTGACCATCTCACATACTTTGCTGTGCTCCTGGTAGGAGTCAACATATTCATTATAAAAAGTCTAATTCAAGAATTATGTGTCTTTAGACTAAATGATACTTCATCAACAAAATATTGACAAACACCTCAGTAATAAAATGTGAAATCTCTCTTCATTTATCTTAACAACCATTTTCTGATCTTCTTCAGAGTTGGCAGGTGTGTTACTAATATTCCAACACGTTCATGCTGAGTTTGACATAGTTTGACTATGTGTTTCTCATGCTTCGGTAAAAAGTTGTTCTGTGTTACTTTTTCCCCAGTAGTGACACTGTGTGTGTGGAGAGGCAAACATAAAAACACAGATGTGTTTCTCTGTCTTTGTGAAGACATCAGTGATGGGAATAACGGCATTACAAGTAACGGCGTTACTAGCAGCCTAATATATACGCGTGTTTTTTTTCATCAATAGTTTTGTTACATTTACTGTCTAAGGACAGCGCTAGCAAGCACTCTCTGCTTATTACCAAAAAAACCCAAAAAAACAAAAACCTGCCCTTTCGTGTTGGTGGAAAATGCACCATGTGTCGACCAATCAAAAATGATATAGGTAGAAAACAGGAGTGATATACCTGCTGCTCTCAGACCTGCAGGTAACAGGCTGTGATGTTCTCCTTTGTAGTGGACAGAAATATTTGGAGTGCCACAAATAATTTGTGTGGCATCTTATTCAATGCAGAACAGCTGATTGTTATGTTAATAGTTTGAAATGGTTATAAAAAAATCAAGGTAAAAGGTAAATGGCTGCAAATAACTTTGTTGTTTGCAAAACTTGTGCATAGGATTTTAAAATTGACAATTTATATTTGCATTTAAATTTATGAAATACGATTCATTAAACATGTTTGTGGTTGTTACAGTAAAAAATTTAACTTTTTCTATTCGGATTTTGTTTTTTGTCTGATTGTAGATCAGTTGTGTTAATACAGTATGTCGAAATGAAAACATAACTTTAAATTCAGACACGTGAGGTTGTGCTAAAAAGGATGATACCAAACAAGGCAAAGTAAATAGTTTTTCAAGGCAAACTGTAACTCAGTTACTAACTCAGTTACTTTTTTGAAGAAGTAACTATAATTAATTACTTTTTCAAAGTAACTTGCCCAACACTGGAAGACATTCACTGAATTTAATCTGTTCCTAAGTCCTTTAATTCAAAGTTTAACCATCATAAGAAATCACGTCCTAAATTAAACTAACTTTGATTATTTTAATGATTTATAGAGCATTTACTGAAAAACTTGGAAATTCAACATTTCAACCCTGGAGTGTTTTTAACGATATTACAGTACTTTTCTTTCTTTACTTCTGTTACCCATCCTAATCTCTTTTTTCCTTTTCATTTGTATGTTGTAGATCAAGGTCACAAAACTATATGGTTTGGGACCCATAGGAAAAAACATAAATTGAAAGTTAGATTAACTTTAGGAACATGAATAGTGTATTTGCTAAAAGCTTGTTTGGAATCAGTTTGTTGGTGCAAATATATTATTCAATGCCCTTAAACCTGTGCTACTTTTGCCATTTTTCATAGGATGAACTGAAGAAATGGGAAAAAAAAAACTGTTGTTTTCCAACAAACTGCTAGTAACAATGATACAAACTAGTTTAAAATAAAATTATAAGAAGAATCCTTAGAAGCTAAATACAAAGAAATGAGGGGTGACTTTCATGATACTAACATTACTGCATGCTTAAAATGATACTCTGTCAAAATAGAAAGATGCCCTTGATCTGTATCATTCCTGATACTACCACTAGATGCCAAAACAAAAATCTCCACATAGTCATCTTTTCCTGCTACAAATGCTCACTTTACAACTCATGACTGTAATCTTTATTCCTCTGTTAGTGCCATCTGTACTCATCCAATGTTCATTGTTTAATTGATTTGTCCCCATCTTATCTGTGTAATTTTTCTCTAATCTACATCAGCTCTTTATACTTTGTGTGTCTTTTTGTTTTGAATTTTAACTCACAATGGAGATGCTGCAAAATAATGTGAAAGTGCATTTTCTCCACAGGTCACTGCTTCCCCATCACCTAAAGACCAGGAGATTTTAACATACATCACTCTGATTGGCTGCAGTCTGTCTCTTTTTACCCTCGTCATCACTGTTTTTCTCTTCATCACAAATAGGTAATTATCTGTTTTCTGATTGATGACATCCTTCAAAACTTAATCCTCCCTGTTTCTAATAGCATCCTCCTCTCCTGCTCCCATCAACTCTTCAGCATTTTCTCACTTATTGTCAATTATCCTTTTGTCTTTTTTTTGCATTATTTTAATCTTTTTCCTCTAATCCCATCGTTTCTCATTTGTATTGTCTTTATTCTCTTTCCTTCTTTCTTCCTTACTGGATTTTCCATTTTTTTCCCAAACAAAATATGACCAAATAATCTGCTTGAAAGTTGTCACTTACCATGAATCACAACTCCTGTATTTGCCAGAAAAGTCAGAGAAGATGTTTCTATGAGGGTTCACATCAGCCTCGTGATTGCACTTATCCTCCTCAACCTACACTTCCTGCCCAATCAAGCAGCGGCAGCAGTGTCCTCCTCTGGGCTCTGTTTATACATGGCTCTTGCCCTTCACTACTCTCTGCTGGCCACTTTCATCTGGATGGCCTTGGAGGGATTCCACCTCTACCTTCTCTTAGTCAAAGTCTTCAACATCTACATCAAGAGATACCTGCTCAAACTCAGTGTGGTGGGATGGGGTGAGTGGAATAATTTAGGCATGAAGCTGTTTATCATCATCATCATCATCATCAGAATAATTCAATTCTATTTTATTCATATAGCGCTAAATCACAACAACAGTCACCTCAAGATGCTTTATATTGTATAACTGTTCAGTTCTTGTGTTTCAGGTGTTCCTACAGTCATTGTGTCAGTGGTGGTGATCATTGACAGAGGCTTTTATGGCCAAGTCCCTCTGGACAGCTCCAACAAAACTGCAATGTAATTCATATTTATTCATAAATAATATGCAATCATACTTTCTGTAATCTGCATGTTACACTGAGTCCACTTGCAAAATTAACATAAACATTAGGCAGCAAAACCTCAGTTTCACCAAGCATCTAATTTTGACAAAATTAAAATACTGAGAGTTTCTGGTATATTTAACCACATGTATCTAAATCATCTGCAACAACACCTCTATGAAGTACAGAATGTTACTTTTTAATTTCACGAGTAAGAGACTAAAACACGGATCACCTACACTCCCTTTTTTTTTTAGATGCTATATAACCAATAACTATATAAAGATGGGAACTACAGTGGGACTGTTCAGCTTGGTGTTCCTCTTTAACATGTTTATGTTTGGAGCGACAATCAGACGTGTCTTGATTCTACGCAAAAGCACAGAGGTACGGTCAGTTTTATGTTGCTATTGAAATTGATGTTTTCTATGTCAATATGTTCTGTGAAATCTCAAAACGCAACAAGAAATTAGTCTATTGTTCTGCCTTTTATAACTTAAATCGGATATTATAGTTGTAAGCTGCCCTAGAGCTCCCTCTAGTGGCTGCTTTGGGTTCGGTTACTTTGGGAAAGGAAAAAAATGAGAACGTGAAGAAGAAATAAAAGATGGCGGAAAGTGATACCGTAATGTTATCGTTCTAAGCTGATACGGACCTTAAAATGTTGTTGCCTTGGACAAGATATGTCTGTAAGTATGAGTGTCGATAAAATAATATTATCTTTTGTTTTGTGTAAAAATGGTACGATAATTTGTACATTTGAAAGTTTTATCTTGTTAGCTTGCAGTAAGAGTGTAACAAGCTAGTTTACAATGTTAGTTAGCTAATACAGTATTTTGTACTTTCAGTTTTACGATGGTCAAAGAGAAGGCAATGGTCAGAGGCCATTCTTCAATAAATCAGCGCAAAAAGGAAAATAAGTCTGGTTATTGGAGCATCGTTATCTCGCTGTCTAGCTGGTGAAACTAAGAACAAAATTGTTGGTACCCTTCGGACAATGAAAGAAAAACTCACAATGGTCACAGAAATAACTTTAATCTTGCAAAAGTAATAAATAAAAAAAAAATCTATAAATCTTAACCAATGAAAGCCAAACATTGCTTTTCAACCCTGCTTCAACTGAGTTATTTAACATATAAATGCATGAAACAGGCCTGGATAAAAATTATGGTACTCCTAGGAAAGAATAAAAATGATGTGACCAAAGGGACATGTTAATCCAAGGTGTGTCCACTAATCACCATCGCAGGTGTCTACAATCTTGTAATCAGTCAGTGTGCCTACATATAGGACTCCAGGTTGTCACTGTGTTGTTTGGTGACATGGTGTGTACCACACTCAACATGGACCAGAGGAAGCAAAAGAAAGAGTTGTCTCAGGAGATTAGAAAGTAAATCATAGACAAGCATGTTAAAGGTAAAGACTATAAGACCATCAGTTGCACATGACATTCAGAAATTCAAGATCCATGCGACTGTAGCCAACCTCCCTTGACGTGGTCGCAGGAGGAAAATTTATGACAAGTCAAAGAGATGGATAACCTGAATGGTAACAAAAGAGCCCAGAAAGACTTCTAAAGAGAACCAAGCTGAACTTCATGCTCAAAGAACATCAGTGTCAGATCGCACTATCCGTCGTTTGAGCCAAAGTGGGCTACATGGGAGACAACCAAGGAGGACACAATTGTTGAAAACAAATCATAAAAAAGCCAGGCTGGAATATGCCAAACTACATGTTGACAAGCCACAAAGGTTGGCTTCAGGAGAGAAATGTGCTGGCCAGTGTCAGAAAGCTTGGTCTCAGTCGCAGGTCATGGGTCTTACAACAGGACAACACACACAGCTAGAAACACCCAAGGATGGCTAAGAGGGAAACATTGGACTATTTTAAAGTGGCCTTCTATGAGCCCTGACCTCAATCCTATTGATAATCTTTGGAAGGAGCTGAAACATGCAATCTGGAAAAGGTGCCCTTCAAACTGGAAACAACTGGAGCAGTTTGCTCATGAGGAGTGGGACAAAATACCTGTTGAGAGGTGCAGAAGTCTCATTGACAGTTACAGGAATCATTTGATTGCAGTGATTGCCTCAAAAGGTTGTGGAACAAAATATAAAGTTGTGGGTACCATCATTTTTGTCCAGGCCTGTTTCATCCATTTATTTTTTAAATAACTCAGTTGAAGCATGGTTGAAAAGCAATATCTTACATTCATTGGTTAAGATTTATAGATTTTTTTAAAATTGATTATTACTTTTGGCAGATTAGTTATTTCTGTGACCATTGTGAGGTTTTCTTTCATTGACCGAAGGGTACCAACAATTTTGTCCACGTCTGTATTAATGAAATTAACAACAGGAACCCTGACTGCCATTAGGTGTACACACACACTATAGGAATGAGAGATCTCTATCTGTCGCTGAGGGACTGTCTGCTGCTCGTCAAATACATTTTATTATTAAAATGTTGACCCTGTGCTAACTTGCATATGAGAAATAAAACTGAAATCCTTGGCCCCATTGTCAACCCTAAACTGGAGCATTGGGCCCTTGGATCCTCCTGGCACATAACCATTTTGTCCTCATGTGATGAGAGTGTGCAAACAGTTACTGTCGGATGAAGGAACTGATAATATTCACTGCCCCCACACACATCTGACCTAAATTCAACAGAACACCTCTGGGACATTATGTTTTGGTCCATCCGATGCTGCCAATTTGCAGCTCAACTGTCTAAGTGTTCAGTGATTCCCTGGTGATCTGGGAGGATTTCCCCAAAGACCATCCATCATCTCATTAGGAGCATGTGCATGTTGCCAGACATGCGTATAAGCACATGGGAGTCTACAAACTACTAAGAACCATTTTGAGGGGCTGAAATGAAGTTTCAGCAAAACAAATCAGCCTGTTGCATCATTTTTCCGTTTATTGTTTGGGCTCACTGTGAATTTAGACCTGTGTAGGTTGATAATAT